ACTGCAGTGCTTTGCATTGGACATCTTATGAACTTTTACAGCTCCATTATATGCAAATGATGAAAGCAAGAAAACAAATATTGCTACCTCGGGCGCTGGGCACAGCTACACGGACACACACACAACATGAAAGGCATTGTTTGGCTGCTGGCAGGACGTAAAACGTGGGTCGCAGGATGCGTTGCAAGGCTCATATGCAGACATTTACATAAGCAAACAGCTTCTGCTTTTATGTGGCAGCTCGAACTCTCCCACACGCACTCGACTCCCAGCGGAGTATACCATACAGCAGTCTCTGGCATACCGTCGTGCTGGCATCCTGCCTCTATCCAGCACGAACTACTAATAAACCAACCAACAACAGCAACAGCAACAGCAACAACAATGGCAACGGATATTAAGCTCAAACTGCCCAGAGGACAAAAACGAAAAAAAAAGGAAAGAAAAAACAAGAAAAAGACGCAGCTAACTTAGCCTAAAGTCCAAAAGTGACCCGACATTAAGAGCCGGTGCCTGAGCCTGGTCGTGTCCTGGTCGTGGTCTTGGTCCTGGTGCTGTTTGTGATCCTATTGCCATTACCATTGGCATTTGCCGCTTCAATAGGCCCTACCGCCTGCTTATCAACTGATAGCTTAAACAAGCAGACCCCGCAGCCAGCAACAGTTTTTCTTTTCTTTCTGTGAATTCCTTGGAGCTGCCGAAAAGGGTAAATTGCCATTCAAAGTTGCCGGCAAATGATTTGCTGTTGTCCTCAGCATCCTCCCAATTGCCGGAAAAAAAAAAACTTTTGCTTATCATAATCAAAATAATCAAATTTTGTGCTTGTGCAACAAAGTTTTAGTTTAGACTCAGCAACAATTATGCGACATTCGAGTCGACGAGTGTCACATGTGCCGAAGTTTTTTGCCAAGCTGCGTTTTTATGGCTAAGCGGGGTATGCTCACTGATGTTAGTGTGTTTGCTACAGGCTGGGCAGGGCTTTAGGTCTTTATTGTCTGTCTATTTAGCTTGGCTTCTTCCGTCTCTTTTTAAATTTTATACTCACACATAAAATCTTAAGTCATAAAATTTGGTACATAAATTCTGATGAACTAATAACCTCTCCACTTGCTTAGCCACGCACAGAAATTGTGCTCGAAAAAGCATGCGAATTATCTAAAATGTTTTTTTTTAAATAATTCCAAAAATTTTATTGCTTAAAAAAATTTTGAAAAAATTGAGTTTTTAGAAAATGATGCAAATCACAATTTTGATTTATTTTTTGCATAACAAAGGGCAACTCCCGGTCGAGCAGTCTCTCCTTGAACCCTCCAAGTCTTTTTTCTTGTGCAAATTTAATCACTTAACCCCAATGAAGTATAAGAATGGCGAAAAAGTTTTTTTGCAAAAGTTGTCACTGGCTGATGGCATAAGAAAGCGCCAAGCTATGCGGCATGTGGCGTTAGTGGGGTTTCGGGCAAAATTGATTTTTCACTTGGACGAGGTCACAGCATGAGCATATTAATTCCGCCACGCCCATGCCGCCCACAGCCCATATACTTCGCATTGTGTTGCTCTTTGTGTGTTGACATTCCAGTTATATTGCGTGTGTGTGTGTGTGTGTGTGTGAGACGCCCAAATGACAAAGTTACTTAAATTACCAGGCCAAAACTTTAGTTGCGCTTACTTTGTGCACCCCAGCTCCAGCCGCTGCTCTGCTCAGCTCTGCTCTTAAGCAGAATTAATGAGTAGAGCGTTCCTTTTCCTTTCACATTTTCATTGTTTTCATTGGTTTTTTTGTGGAGTTTTTTTTGTTGGTTTTGTTTTTGCATCAGTGCCAAAAGTCAAAAGCTGCCATTGCAGGCATTTGAGTTTTGGGCGCTCGGCGAGCCATGCAACCCAAATTCACTTTAAGAGCAAACACACTCAAACTTTCCATATCTATATACATATATATATATATATATATATACATTTATGTATGCATGTGTGTGTGTATATATATAAGACATTCCATATACGCATGCAAACAAACTGCAATTGCTGAACTTTCTCTACACTTGCTTAGGGTATGCTAAACTTGAAGAGAAAACATGTAACACCTTTCAATGGACTTCAAGTTTATACAACTTTGAACTCAATATATATCTTAAGGAAATAGTAATTCAGAATTGAAGTTCACTTTGCTCTTGCAACTTGTTTTTTACCTGCTTTGTCTATAGCAATGTCTGCAACTTTATAAAATATTCACCTAGAGTGCAACATCTCTTTCTAACTTTTGCATATATGCAAGATATATATATATATATATATATATTCTCTTTAGTGTCTCTCAGACTGTGTCTAAAACTTACTCTCAAATTCATGAATGTCTTTCACTTGCACTTGATGCATCCTGAACTGAAGTTCTTTTAGCTTCTGCTCTTTGTTTTTGTTGCAAGTGTTGAAACACTTCTCAGCAGCTTGTTTTTTTTTTTTTTGGGAGTTTAACACTGGTCTTCAGCTGCTGCCAGATCAACGCCTTCAATAGTTTCTTAAGTTTTCCCTTAATTAAATTTGGTTAAGTTTTAGATGTAGATATAGATTTTTTATATAAACAAACAAACCTGGGCAAGGCACTAGATGGAATAGATCAAATAGTTCTGATAAGGTTTACTTCTATCTGTTTAATTGAAAAGTAGTTAGATTTCTCTTCTCTCTATGCTTCTATGCATAGTGTATTAAAGTAATAATTTCTTTAAACAGTTGAATGAATTGAGAGCTCGTCTGATTGCCCATCGATAGCCTTGAGACACACAAGTTTATTTAGAGTTCTTGGCCTTCTATGCTTTTGAATAGCATTTTCAAATGCAAATCATAAATGAAGTTTCATTTCATATAAAAAGAAAAATGTAATTAACATTTCAAATTCAATTTCCTTTCATTCCGATGCAACTTACAAATCTGCAAAAGTCTAAGCCAAATTTTTTCCTTCAAAAATGTCACATTTGTTGAACAAGTTGCAATCATATTACATGCAGCAAATGATGTTTGAGTCATTTCATGTGCTGTAAATTCTTGCCATATTCGTCAGATTTGTTAGAGCTTGAAAATGCAATTTTTGGAAATCAATCGTAAGCACTGCTCACTAGAAGCTCAAAACTTTTAAGTTTTCAATGAATCCAGTTTTTTTTTCATATCTTCATAATTACGAAATGCATTTTCAGCTAAGTCAAAAAAGAGCAAACGAAACTCGTCTGTGTAAATGCCAAACTGTATGCTGTAAGCGCCAAATTTTTTAATAAAAATATTTAATTAGAGCATCAAGCTTAGTGCGGCAAAGGTAATAACGACTATGCATACAAAAAATAATAAATAAAATGAATAAAATAATAAAAATAAGGAAATACTATCAAACATCGAATTCACAGATTGAAAATTAATTAAAGCTTACGAAGTGAGGGATTTCAGTTCTATAAAAATGTATTTAAGTGATGTAAGCCTTTGCCAGATAGAATAAAATTTTAAAAATATATTTAACTACATTGTTGAGCGCAAAGCTTAACTCATAAGTTTCAAATATAGAGCATCAGTTGACCGAGATTTACTAAACTTTAAGTCGAAGTCATTTCAATACGAAATCGAGTTTTTAATTTGCAGACCCAACAATATATGGCCAATCAATACAGAAGTCAGCGGAAACTTTACGAGTTCGATACTTAAAAAGTTTTCAAATGTCAGCATAAGTCTTTCTAAGGCTCTTACATGCGTATTATTATTTTTGCTCTGCTTTCTTAAATAACATTAATAGAATGCTTAAATTGTTGTAATTACTTTTTGCTTTAGGTTGTTGAATGAATTTCTACAAATTTGTAACCAGAGTCTTAAGCTTTTGTCGGACATCGAGTGTTGTTGTTGTCCACATGCAACGCATTTTTGCTTCACTTTTGCTGGCAGCAATACTCTATTACTCTGGGTGAAGAGTCTTCTGTCTGCCTGCTTGGAGATGTATGTACAATAATATCCTTTCACATTTTATTACACTTGTAATGTACAACGATTGGAACAGCAGCGGCAGCAGCAGCAGTCGAAGGTCCTTCAAGCATCCTTACGAGCAGCAGAATGAGCAGTCACTCGAACATGTGTGTGTGTGTGTGTGTGTGTGTGTGCGCATGCCTTAGGGGCTCTAATAATATAAGACACGCACAAAGAGCAGTAGGTGGCAGTTTATCTGTGAATGTGTGTATGTCTGCCTCTCATTGTCAATATTGACAATAAACAAGTTTGCTATAAAACGTAACAAGAGCCCGACTGAGTGGAGTGGCATGGAATGGCTTGAAGTCGAGTCGAGTCGAGTCGAGTCTAGTTGAGTTCGAGTTGCGTTCGGTTGAGTGGGGCAGTCAAGTGACACACATACTGTACACTAGACTACACTAGACTACAAGTTAAATGCTCAGCTCAAAAGGGCCCACATAAATCAGGGCACTCAATCAAGCTGAAGGCTACAGCCAAGCCACAGTGACTTATTAATCGTGTGTATACATATATATCTATATATATATATATATAAATACGTTTCACATTATATAAAATTGTATTATGAGCGAGTAGTTTTTGCAGCTGCCGAGCGTTGTGCACTTTGTAAATTGAAAAAAAGAGGAGGAAACTTGTTTGGGAAAATAAATATATAAAATAAAAACATATCCCTACTCTCGGTGATAAAATGTTATTATAAATTATATTAAAAATACATAAATTGTGCGAGGCATTATAAGCGTCGACTGCTATTTTGAGGGCCAGGCAATCGTTCATTCGGCCAACGGGTTGACATTTATGTTGGCCAAACCAACCGAGCAGCCATGCAGCCAGGCAGCCAGCCAAACAAACTTTTATAATTAATTAACATTACAATAACAACAGCAATTTGTTTAAACATAAATCAATCATGAGCAACGCTCTCATTAAAAATTAAAGCCCTGAAAGGGAGACCAATGCGTGTGCGTGTGCAGCAATTTAATAATGCTCAATTTTTTATTTCACAGATTTTACAGCCGGACTGCGTCTGGTCGAGGTGCGCATACCGAACTATGTGATTAAGGGCGCCAGCGCCCAGCTGGAATGCCTCTACGATTTGGACGGCGAGGCGCTCTACTCGGTCAAATGGTACAAGGATGGCAATGAGTTTTATCGCTATGTGCCCAGGGATAATCCGCCGGCGCAAACATTTCGTTTGCCAGGTGTTGCCGTTGATGTGAGTATGCCACTGAAAGAAGACCGAAAAGAAAATAAGTAAGAGTTGTGGAGACGACCAGAAGCCGACTGGGAGATACCTTAGACCCTGAAGACATTCGTGGTTATATCTAAAAGAATCCGACGTACAGAAGTCCGCCCTTTACTGAGCAAAAATATGTCTATATCAGATTTGATGACTCTATTACTCAAGACGTACTCAAGATTTGAGAGCTAAAGTTTCGTAGCGGTTTTAGTCGGTTTATCGCAAATAAAAAAAGTTATCGATAATTTTAAATTAAACATGGGAGCTATGAGTTGCTCTGGCTCTTACTGACGAACAGAGTTAACTCTGGTTCTCAAGACTGACAAGATCTGATTAGAAAGCTAAAATAGGATATCGTTATCGATAATTTTTTAAAGCGCGATTTAAGCTATGCGTTTCCCTGATTTTGATAAGTGAACAGAAAGCAAGACAGATGTAAAAGAGCAAGAGATGACTAGTTGTGTATATAATATATCGATATATATTGTATATGACATTTCTACGAAATACAAAATGTTATCGATAACATTAAAACACATAATTATGAACAAACAGGAAGAGAATAAGAGAGAGTTCCCAGGGACTGCTTAAAGAGCTCAATCGACTTTATTCTATTTCATACAAAATACAAAATGTTATCGATAACATTAAAACTGATATTTACAGACGAACGGGAAAAAAATAAGAGAGAGAGAGAGAGCTCCTAGGGTCTGCTTAATATGTCAAACGATTTTATTCTACTTCATACAAAATACAAAATGTTATCGATAACATTAAAACAAACTCTTATAGACGAATAGAAGGAGAGACAGATGGATTACTTGCGCCCAAGATTTGCATAAATAGCTCAAATAGGATAGCGATTTTATTCTATTTCATACAAGCACAAAAATTTATCGATGTCTTCAAACGAATTTGATTAGAGCTCGCTACAGCAAGAGCTTCTTCGTCACTTACAGACAAAAAAGCAGTCAACTCAGCTTCAGCTCTATCTATTTTCTAGATCATCCTGCTCAGTCCAACGCCTGCGTCTGCCTGTTACATATTCTTTAACAAAACGAATATACTCCAAATACCAAATACAAAATTAGAGCTGCCTTCGTGTTGTTGGCGGTATTGTTAAAGCCCGACATTAAAACAACGTTGCATACTTTGCGGCGCAGCCAGACAATAGACTGCACCGCCTCTTGGTCGGCCCTGCACTTATATAGAACTGCAGCAAAAGAGCTGTTTATCACAGCACGAGCAGACAATGAGCTGCCTTAGAGTTAAGTTTTTTGGTCTGTCCAAGTGCAGCTGCACAGCGGCAGGAGCGCATTTAATGGGCACAAAGAAAACTCTCACAGCTGCTCTGCATAAGCAGCTGTAGTCAAGTCAAGCGCTGACCCCAGTTGCTGTTGCTATGCTCAAACATTTTGAAGCTTTAGCATTCGGCTAGGGGAGCTGCAGTTTAGTGTAGAGCCCATCAGTTGGCAGTTAGCAAAAGACAGAAACAAAAAAATCGAACAATGATCATGCATGGACGAAGGCAAAGTTGCCACGTTTGGAAAAGTGGCGCACTTAAATGCCATTGCTCCATTATTTTTGCCACTAAAACTTTTGCACGTAAAATGCGCACTGCACGCTTGCAGGTGAGGTGAGGTACCCAGGTATCCCATTGCCCAAAAATCCTCTGTACGCATACAAAGCACACACTTGCCAGAGGCGGTGCTAGGGTAAACGCCTCGCTGAGTTCTAGATAAGCACGTGAGAGCGCCACACACACATATGCAGAGAGCCATAAAACGCTGTACAGTGGAGCTGCGCTAGTGCGAACTACGGCGACCACACTAATCGTCTAACCGAAAAGAGAAATAAAAGTGAATCTGCTTGGCATGCATGTCCTGGCTACACCCTCGCATCCTGTTCCAGTTCCTGTGCCGTGTGTTTTCAGTTGCGAGTGCAATAAATTTTTCAAGTTGCGCTTTTCCTAGCCGCCGCTGGCACTGGGCGTGGCTCGAACGTGTCTATAATGCGCATTATAACAACCAGAGGAAATACACCCACACTCACACACACACACACACACACACACACACACACACACACACATACACGCGGTCGTGGCGGCATTGTGAACTTTGATGTTGGGCAGCAGATAAAAGCGAAACATGTTGCAAGGTCTAGATAGCTGGCAGCCAATGCTAATGGTTATATCCAACTACATTTGGCGGATATTGTTTTAGCATAATCGATTCAAGTGACTGACTGACGTGGCTTGGCCAACAACTTTTTGGCCATTGGCTGGCTTTCGTTTCGGTTTTGTTTTATTGCAGTTGTTCAAAACTCTTGTCTGCCTGGACGTGTGCTAAGCCAGCGCTTAACTGCGTCTGCGTCTGCATCAGCGCCAGTGTTTGTGCTTAGCTAGGTAAACTATAAATTAGGTTAAGACAACAACAGCAGCAGCAGACACACGGGCCAACAACACAATGAGCACAAACGTATAAAAATGCGCAATAAAAGATAACAAAGTGCACTTTTCGCTGGGCAGATAAACAACAGTAACAAAAACCCTTTTCAAATAAGCAAGAACTTTATGGTCGACTGCTTAATACGCGTTATACTGGCTTTTGATTAAAAAATACCAACATTTGAAGCAGCTTAAAAATTATAGGCGGTTTAACTGTGATCTGTGTCGTGGCAGCTTTAGGGTTTCTTATCGATAACATTAAAACACATTATTATGAACAAACAGGAAGAGAATGAGAGTTCCCAGGGACTGCTTAAATAGCTCAATCGATTTTATTCTTAAAAAGTTGCCTCATTAGCTCTAAGCACAAACTATTCAATCTTCATGTAGCAAATACATTTAGTAACTTCTCAATATATAAAGGATGTAAACTGTTAGAGCCACACTTAAGTTTCTGCTTTATTTACTATACATTCCGAGTGGGGTATTGTCTCTCTCCCGCTCCTTCACTCTGTGCCTATCTCTCTGTGTCCATCCCTCTCTGTCTTTCTCTTTCTCTCTCTCTATCTGTCTATCACTCTCTCTCTCTGTCTATCTCTCTTTTTGTCTTTCTGTCTATCTTTCTCTGTATATTTCTCTATCTCCCACTCTCTTTCTGTCTTTCTCTCTGTGTCCATCTCTATCTGTGTCCATCTCTATCTGTGTCCATCTGTCTCTGTGTAGCTTTCTCTGTATATCTCTATGTCTCTCTCTTTCTCTCTCTCTCTCTCTCTCTCGCTCTGTCTATCTCTCTCTCTCTCTTTCTGTCTTTCTCTCTGTGTCCATCTGTCTCCGTGTAGCTTTCTATGTATATCACTTTGTCTCTCTCCCCCTGTCTTTCTCACTCTCTGTCTCTCTCTTTATCTCTCTCTCTCTCTCTCTCTCTCTCTCTCTCTCTCTGTCTTTCTCTCTGTGCCCATCTCTCTCTCTGTAGCTTTCTCTGTATAGCTTTCTTGGTATATATCTCTGTCTCTGTCTCTCTCTTTCTGCCTCACAATCTCTCAACCGTCGCCCCGAGAACTACTCTTCCTATCTTCTATCTTCTCCCTCTGCCTCTCACATACTCACATAACCTTGATCTTGACAGCAAAACCTTATCTCACTTGCAATAATATCAGCTCTAAAGCTAGAGTGACATCGACCTATTGCATAAATCCTAGCACTGACATAAGTCGATGCTCAGTCTCCACCTTCAATAGCATTAAAATGGCTTACGACCGTCAGCCAGACGTAGTTTAAGCAAACCCAATACACTCTTTGCAGTTTGTGAGCGAGTATGAGTAGCAGACAGCGGCTAGCAAAGCAGCTTAATGGCTTAAAGCTGAAGTGAAATATTCGCCTAACGTACGCGACTGACCCTTAAAGTGAGCAAGTGGGCTGTGCGCCTTTAAGAGTAGCAGAAACATTGAAAAAGCATTTTGAGCCGGTTCTCAAAAACAATTACGTTACATTAACGTTCAAAGTGGCGGCTATTGAAACTGCCAACTGGCAACTGGCAACGGGTAACAGGGAACAGCCAATGGCCAACAGCGAACTGCCAATGTCAAAAGACGGACAGCGACATCCTTTTGGGTCTTACAACTTTTGCCACTTTTCGTTTACATTGCTTTAGCCGCGCTCCACAGCTGCTGCGCATTATTTTCTGCCCTGCTTTACTTTTTACACATTCAAACAATTTTTAATTGCAGTTGCACAACTCGAGCGATGCGATTGTTAACCTGCACAACGTCAATCTTCAGTCGGCTGGCCGTTTCCGCTGCGAGGTATCCGGCGAGGCGCCGTCCTTCCAAACGGTCACTGAGCATGGCGACATGGTTGTTGTGTGTAAGTATGCGAATAATAGTAATAAGAACTGTGTAGATATATATATATATATATATATATATATTTGGTAATTGAACTCTGGTGAAAACTTATAGTTCTAATTGCAATTGGCGCAAGGAAGCCGCAGAGAGTTTATTGAGAATGGCGATTAGAGTTTGGCTATTGCAATTAACTGGACTCAAGTGTAGAGTCTTAACTGGCCATCTATCAATGGCTGAAGTGCGTCTAGAGTGATATTGTGGACTTGAGCATGAGTGAGGTGATGGGCGTGCTACAGATTTGCTGTTTAGTGCTCTTAAAGTTGAGTGTAGTTGGTTGGAGGCATAACAAGCGAAGAAATTGGACATTGCTTATATCTTTCAAGATATAAACTAACCATTCAATGAGATAGATTGACTAGGCTAGGAAGATAGATCCATATCTTGTGCCCCTCAAATAGTTTTAGAATACTTCTTTATATTGATTACAGTAAACTTAATAACTCTAGCTATACATTCCATATCTGCTGAAGGCGTCTGTAATAAGCTGCAAAGAGTTTCACTTCGAGAGGGTATAAAAGTAGATGATAAATAGTTCAAATAGTTCATAACAAGTAGATTGAAAGAATCAGTTAAATAAGCTCTTATTGAGAAGATATTAATGTAGTTAAGCAACTGCTAACTGCTGGCTGTAAAGTGCGAGCTGTTAACTGTTAACTGCGAGCTGTTAACTGTTAACTCTGCTAACTGTTAACTCTTAAAAGCTTTTGTCTGCTTTATGTTAACTGCTTATGTTATTGGTTAGCTGTTAATGGGCAACTGTTAGCTGCTAGCTGCTGACTGTTAACTGCAAACTGTTAAGTGTTAGCTGTTAACTGCTAACTATAAGCTGTTAACTGTTAGCTGTTAAAGCTTAACTATTAGCTGTTAGCTGTCAACTGCTAACTGTTAACTATAAGCTGTTAACTGCAAACTGTTAGCTATTAAATGTAACTCTTCTGTTAGATTTTACCTCAAAATACATTCAGCTTAAAGGCAATTCCATCAGGAATAAGAAACAAAGCCAATCACTTGTACTTGCTAGTCAGTCAGACACATACCTCGAAGCGTTTGGAAGACAGTAATTCTAAGAACTAAGCTAATAATTCATGCCCTGTCATCTCGTGTGCCAATCAACAACTCTATACATAGTTAATTGCATAGTTGATGTAAATCTGTGCATATGTAACATCTAAGTGATTATCAACACGCTCGAAGCAATTATAATTTACAGTGCTTGACCTGCTTTCGTTGTTGTTGTTGTTGTTGTTGGTGTTTCAGATCCAATTTGGGGAGAGAAAATTCAATTGTTGATTGCTGGCTGCTCAAGTGTTGAACTGCATTTGACAGGCTTCATTTGATTTCATGTTTATAATAAGCTTAGCTAAACTCGCAGATGTGGCTCGGCTTGCCGCAAGCCTTGCTGCTGCTTTTGTTGGCCACTAACCTGCCAAAGCTTAGCATCTAACTCAATTTTGCAACTGTCTGTCTTGCTCAGAAATTTTTTGCTGGAGGCGAAACAAAAATTTCGAAGATGTCGCGACCAACTCGCAATGCAAACAAAACAACAACATCAACAAGAAAATGTTGTGAAGTGCTTGCAGGGCTCAGGATTCAGACCGGAAATCACGCTTATTGCCATGGACAACGAGAGTCACACGTGGGCGAGGCAAACCGGAACGCTTTGAGCTGGCGTTGACATTTCGTTTGTTCAATTATAAACTTTTGCGTGGGCAAGAGAGATGCTGTCTCGCTCCTGCTTTCGCTCTCGCTCTCTCTTTCCCTTGCTATCTCTCTCTCATCTGGCACTGGCTTTGTCTTTGTTCTAACGCGCTTTTGTTTTGGCTTTTGTGTTGCTCATATTGTGCAGGCTGCCTGTTTGGCTTTCAATCAAACTTTTTAAAAGCTTCAACAACACAACAACAACAGCAGCAACAACAACAACTGGCACAGCTCGCATATGCCACAGCTCCGAGTCCAGTTTTGGCAGTTTACAGCTCTCTGCGCCCACAGCTGCCGTTAGCCCTCTGGCAAAAAAGCCATTTCCGTTTCCGTTCGCATAGTTTCGCTCGGCACTGATTTATAGTCTTCGAGCGGGTATTAGAACTTTGTCATGATGCACAGTCAACAGCATGTCAGCAGGCATCAGCATGCTACAGCTGGCAGGCTAACTGCATTGCTTGTATTAGTTTGACAATTTGTGTGAATTTTGTTTCAGCTAAGGCATGAAAAGCCGCTAAGTGGACTGTGTTGAAAAATAAACAAATAATATATATATTTTGCATAATATAAATTAATAGAAAAACAACAAAATAAATCAGATTTTATCTAATATGAAATGTGATTTTGATTAACAGTGCAGATATTGATATTTGTATCATGTGCTTCTTACAGTAACACATTAGAGCTATGTTGCCGTAACAGCACTTGAAAACTGTTAAAAGGACAACCAAAATGCAAATATAAGAACCATGTTAGCTTAGCATTGTCAAATCACTGTTAAATAACATAATAATATAAATATGCTATCTTAACAGAGTTGTATAACTGTTAAGAGTTTAATTGATATGCGGATGTACTTTCTTTAACATGTTAGAGCTATGTTAGCAAAACTGCACACAATAACTGTTAACGAATTCCATAATAAGCAAATATGAAGCTAACATATGTATAAGAGCTGGGTTATTAGTTCAAAGCTGAACGGCTGTAAAATGTATCACTGGTATGCAAACTTCTGTAAAAGAACAGAGCTATGTTAGCATAAGGGAACTAAAGAACTGTTAAGTGATGCACTCGTAGGCAAATACCAATTGCTTAACATAGTAGCGAGGTACTAACATAGCAGAACTGAGCTACTGTTAAATATTGTATTCAGTAAAAATAGGCAGCAAATGATGTAGTCACATGAGAATCTCTGTTGTATGATATACAAAAGTAATGTTAGCATAACAGAACAAAGCAAATGTTAAGTGAGTCATTAATAACCAAATATCGTTTTAGGTAACATACAAGAGTTATGTTAACTTTACATATTTGATATTTTGTGTTTGATCTGAAAATCTCTGTTGAGTAGCAAACAAAAGCTTTGCTAACATTACAGATCAACTGTTAGTTAACATACGAGAGCTCTGTTGACACTACAGTGCTGTCGTTGATTGCTGTGGCAAAGCAAGTGTGCATCGCTCAACTAATAAACATGCATTGGCTGGTTAGGGTATTAAGAGATGCGATGCGATCAAGTGTTGATTCGGCTTCATTTCAATTTTATTTTTATTTCACTTGTTTTCTTTAGTTTGTTTTTTGCAATTTTATCAGCAGTCTGTCAGTGCATCAGCGGCTGGAACTTTTATTGAATTTCCGGATGGGCGCCGGCGACTTTGTTGTTATTGTTGTTGTTGGCTTGGGTTTGGTTTATTATGGTATTTCGAGGCTTCGGCAGCAATGTTTGCGGGTTGGGCGTGCTAGGGTGCCGCCTGTGCTGTCTGTAACTAGCCGTAAATTAAATTCAGCGCAGCTTGACTTCGTTAGCCATGCCAGCAACTAACCAGTCTCTTTCGGTTTCTTCTTCCACTTTCATAGCTCTGCCAGATCAGGGACCGCCGAAAATAATTGGAGGACGTCCGCGTTATCAAATTGGCGACTGGGTGCGCATCAACTGCACCGCCGGCCGCTCCAAGCCAGCTGTCAATCTCACCTGGTATGTGAACGGGGAGCCAGCCGAGCCGCAAAAGCTACGCAAATTCGAGACAATTGTATCGGGCCGAGAGGGCCTGGAGACCTCAGTGCTGGGCTTGCAGTTTCGCGTCGAACAGCATCATTTTCGCAACGGAGATATGAAGCTGAAGGTGAGTAAACTGCTGAGATTTTTCTAAAAATATTTAATTAATTGACTTTATTTATTGGCGTTGCAGTGTGTGGCTGCTCTCTCGTCGTTCTACTGGCGCAGCAACGAGGAGTCTGTTGAGGGCGACCGGCCGCAGAAGGCGCCAGTCTTGGAGTCGCGAGAGAGTGACAGCGCCTTTGCCAGCAATTCGCGCGCCGATCCGGTGCAAGGTATGTCATACCGGGAAATATTTGTTACCAAAATCTTATCGCTTTTTCTTCAACCAAATGCAGCCAGCAAAACGGACTCGCTCCTAATGGCCCGGGCGCCCAATGCTCTGCTGTTGCTGGCGCTGGCCTTGGCTGCCACCTTAGCGGGCGGCAGCCTCCACTCCAACTGGCCAGCGTTCAGGCACAGCAAGGCTGGGCTCGGGGCCCGAGTGCATCGAGCTTCGATAAGTGTTGTTAGTCAAGAGCGAGGCAATGAGCCAAATGATAAGCTCATTGCGAAATTCATTCATGTTGAGCAAACGCTTCAAGATTCTCTCTCAGTCGCGCAGCATCGGCAGTTGCTGCTGACTGCGCGGTAGCTGCATTAAGTTAGCCATGCCTCCCATGCCCCGCCCATTTTTTCCACTGAATTTTCCGTCTTCGCTTCGCAGAAAATGAAAATCAAAAGCAAAAAAAAATTTTAAAAAAAAATATGAAAAAAAAGAAAACCAAAAATGAAAAACTGAAAAAAATTGCTAATTTATTTATGTCGTTAACAAAAGCTTTCTTGAATTTAATTTGTATAAACATAAAAGCAAAACCATATTTATATGCATAAAATATTTAAATTTAATAAAACATAAACTACGTATATTTATATATTTTAAATAGAGCCACAAAACCTGTTTTTAGCTGGAGAAAAAAATTGTTGAGCGTATTCAAAAGTTATTGATAAAACTGTACATAGTTAATAATTAATGTGTGTGTATTGTATGTTATTAATTTATAAGTAACTCCAGACGAAAAGATAAACCAGAAAACAATGAAAATTAAAAGAAAAATAAAATTAAAATAAACAAAAGCAAAATTTAAAATTGAAATTAAACGCAAACAACAAATACGAAAACAAAGAGAACGCTCAACGTAGAGCACTGCAAAAAAAACGAGTTTAAACACAAACAAAATATAAATATGCATAAATTTAAGAAAAATATATAATTAAATATAAAGTTAGTTATAAGCATTCTGTAGTTAAAATCATAAAAGAAAAGAAAATAAATAAAAACCAATTAAGCACATAAATTATGTAAGAATAAAATGGAATTTTCAAGTAAAAAGCAAAGTAATTTTGAATGTAATTTGAAGTTAAGCAAAACACTTATTTAGGCTATGTGATTTCATTTTTCCACAATGTTGTTAAATGTTTTCAAATATATTAATTCATTTTCAATGCACTCGAATCAAATTTTTGTATATTCACAAGTCTTTCTCACAAAAAAAATAAAAAGGAAAATAATAATATTGAAATGAAGAAAGCAAAGTTTTTGAATGGAATCTAATCAAATGTAGCATTTAAAAGCTGGTGACTGTCGAAAGGTCTTAAAACTAACAAAAACATATCGTAAATTTATAAATTGCCAAATTTTTTAATGTATGTATATGCATGTATGTGAACTCAATTAACAAATATACAAAGGAAAATAAAAATGAAAGAAATGAAAAACCGAAACATATTTAAACATTAAGTGTTCGATCTGTTCTCTGTCCGTATTTAGTATGTACAGCAACGTACCTATAAATATATATATCTATTATTTAGTCTAAACTGTATGAATTGAGTAAGAGAATGAACTACTAATAACATTCCATGTTATTTTGCCAGCAATTGACAGACAACAAAAAATTTTTATAAATGTTAACATTTTAGTTAGCCAAATTTTAGAAACAACACAAAAAAAAAAAGAAAAAGAAAAATGAAATGAACAAAAACAATAGAGAAATGATTGTGATTAAGCCTTAATGAAGAGTCAAAATACATTCAACATTCAAAACACAATTATTCATTTATGTAAATAGCCCCGAGAGCAGCGCCATATCAAATGCTTTGTCCAATTTTTCTCTCTCTCGCTCGCTTTGATTTCCGATTGCAATTGCAAATTTTAATTTGCATTTTAATTGTCATTAAATACAAAAATAATATTTAAATATATAAATATATTCATAAATGTTATGTGTAAATACTTGAATTAAAACGCTAACTAAATTAGTATTAAGATGTCAAAAAATTAATAATAATAACGAAAAAACAATGCAAAGAGCAAAACCATAAAATGAATGCGAACATTTAAAATACTAAGCGAATAAATTTATGCATAAATTAAATATCAATGTGCAGACATTTAAATGCTAATTAAGTAGCCGATATGAGTGTGTGTGTGTGAGTGACTGTATGTGCGTGTGTGTGTGATCAGATTTAAGTACATCTACATATACAAACTTTAATAAAAATCAATGTGCATTGTTGTAAACTGTAAACTGTTTTTAAGTCCCACTTAATCAACGCTATAAACTACACTTAAAAAAATATTAAAGCAAAATATAAAAAAACGTGTGCTAATTGTAAGTGTAAATTATTTGTGTATTTAAACTCAATTCTTAGATGTATACAAAACAAAAAGTAAGATAAAATGCATTCGAATATATAAATATATATGAATGATGATTTAAAAAAAAAACAAAAAAAAAATAAAAAACGAAAAAAATACAAGCTGCATACTAAATAACAAAAACCAAATGCCATAAAGTAATTTAAATTGAATTTAACAACAATAAATGAAAATCGAAAACGAAAATCTGTAAATATCTTTAAGCATAATTCAAATGAAGATACGAGCATATGATACAACAACAACAAATCTAACAAATTATGAATGAAAAAGCGAAAATCTTCAAAAATAATTATTAATAAAAACATAAAACAAAAATAATTGTTTCGAAATCCAGCAAATTTATTTTCTCTGCTAATTGGAAAAGCAAAAAATTTCTGTCTTGTATGTTTACATCTTGGCCAACATTCGATGGCAAGGCTGACAGAGCTTACGGAAAATTGGGTAATTTTTGGAAAATATTTGAAATACGTGAAAATGTGCGTTGCGTACGTGACAGCTGGAGTCAACGACTGTCCAGTAGCAGTAGCGACAGTAAAGAAAAAAGAGGACAGTCGAAACCGTTTAGCAGTAAAAAAGCAGAACTGGGCATTTGAACCAACGCAAACGACAGGACATTCCATAGGTGCGAGCCCGTGGCACGATGTTACAGAAAGTAAAAAAAGTATAGCATACATCACAGCGCATCCTATTGATAGAACAATTTTCAATAGAGCAACAATTTAACTATTTATATATATACAACATTTTTTTGTAGCATCAAAAGTATGACCACAATATATAAAAAATAAATAAAAATTAATTAAATATTTTATTTTTATTTATTGCAGAACAAATAAAAAGTGCAAAAAATTAATTCTGGAAAATATAAATAAAAGAGATCATAAGTTATGTTTATATATTCAAAGTTTTATTAAATATACAAAAGGTAGATAAAACATCTAACTACTTCACTATTTTTTATTTTGTTTAAATAGCTTGGAAGCTATGGAAACTCTATAAGCATAGCACAAAATTCAAATTCTTATTTATATTACATTTATTTATGAAAATATTTAGAATAGGTAAACAAAATTGCAATTATTTAATGCACTTCTTTTTTTTAAATTTTAGCAGACACAAAACTCGTACAATTTTTTATTTATTTTTTATTGCGCTGTATGGTGGGGAAAACAAATAAAAAAAGCCAAAAATTAATTAAAATTGTTTCGTTAATATCAGTGGGAACTATGGCTTCGCAAGTAACAAATAGATATAAAAAGAGCAAAACTTTAATTTATAAATTTATATATTCGTGTCTTTTTTTAGTCTGTAGAAAGGATGAAGCATTATATAATAAAAACAGCGAATACTCAATTTATTTATTATATTTTGTATGATATATGATATTCTGAATAATACAAAACAAAAGAGTTAAAATTAAATTCATATTTTTTGTTCGGGGTCAATTATGCTGTTGATAGATAGATATAAATAAAGCGAGAGCTGATTTGCATGCAGTAGATAGTAAGTAGAAGGTATTAAATAGTATGTATATATATATATATATATATTAAATAAGATAAAGTATAATTTTGTATTTTTTGTCTTAGCCAGGAATATACATTTGATAGTAATAGATTAATAAATTTATGAATTATTAATTTATAATGATTAAAAAATACATCAAGATTTTTTGTTCGATAGGCAAGTCTTATTTTTATATATATAAAAATATATATAAAAAAGTAATAACTAAAATAGCAAAATATTATGATATGTTATTAAAAGTTATAAATCGAATGCGATTTAATTCCAAACTTGTTACAAAAATATGCTTTAATAGCTCTGATAAGTAAGGTTTTTATGGCAATTAAGACCAGTCTGCTGCACTCTAAGGTTCGAACCGAAATTGCCTGTGGACAACTCATCTACCAAGTAGTCTTATTCTATATTATGTTTCTTCTTGCAAGAAATGTGGCGAAATTTCTGTGTGTCTTATCGGAGTCAGAGCTTACGCCCCATTCGTGGCAATAGCTGGCGTCTTAGCCCTAAGACTTTGCCACTAATAAGCTGCCAAAAATAAGCGCTTTTGATAAATAGATGACAAAAGCCAAACAAATTATAGGAGCAAACCAAGTCGAGGGGTGCCAGCAGATTTATTAAGCCAAGCAAAATCTGCGCACAACAAATTGCTCAGCAAACACCTGCTTGCCCACCTGGCAATGCCTTGGCTCTAATGACACGGAAAATCTCGCATAAGCCAAATACCGAGCAAGTGCGTTGCTGGTCAAGCTTTATTTGCTGTTTGCTGCGGCTATCAAATGTCACATAAATCAGATTTGTCATTTAATTACAACAACAACAACCAGAACAACAAAGTTGTGTAAGAAAATTCTTGGCTCCAATGAAGCTGAACCCACAGCTTAAGCTGCTATTAGACAGACGTTATACAAACAAGCGTAATTTTTATGCCACTTAAGCCATGAGTCGAAGTGAAAAAATGCGGCGGCACCAACTATGTAAGTGTGTGTGTGTGTGTCTGTGTGTGTGTGTGTGGCACCTTTGCATATTAAGCTCAATTGTCTGCAGCTTAAAAACTTTATGTTTGATTTCACACAGATAAAACGGCATAAATTGCCGCACAGGTAAAGTTTTCTCGATTGTTCTTAGTGATAAGTTAAGCTGCTCATTTAATGTCTGGCAGAAAGTTACACAAGTGCCAATTAGCACTGTAGACAGTCAAACTTATTTCAATTAGATCAACTTGCCATTTGAATATTAAAATATTATTTATAGCCAAAATTTAAATCGGTTTGACTTAGCTGGAGCTTGAGTCAAGCAGTAAGTTACACAACTGCCAATTACTACTGTAGATAGCGAGTCTTTAGGACAACTGTGTGGACTCAGCTGAACTCATTCGTATTACACAAACTGAATCGGCTTTACTGCTTAAAATTCTAGTCTTCAATGGCTGACGGAAGAATTGGATTCTCTGTAGTTGTTGGGAGAACCTTTTTATTAGATATTTATATTTCTATTCATATCTTTTTATTACAACTTTTTTAAGTTCCTATC